CTAAAAACAAACCGTGAAACCCTAAACCCTGAAACCCCAAACCCTAAAGCCCGCCTCTTGAACACCTTCAGAGCACGCAACTAGCCACACAACCCGCAACCAGGTAATACAGGCGCCTGCATAAGAGCCAATGCGGTTGATGATATAAATCCTGCACTACCCAGAATGAGGAATATGCCATAAATCCCAGTCTAGGGTCCTTGAGGTAATGCAGGATTGATATCATCAACAGTATTATTCCTCCAGCTTGTTTTTTCAATCAACAGGACACTGATGCTAAAGCCCTTCCAGGCCCTTCTTGCAGAGCCTTATAGACCTCGTCATGAACCCGATTCAAGCCCTATTCGATCTATCAACACCCGTAGATAAACCAAAAACAGACCCTAAACCTTAAGCCCTAAGCCCCAAAAGCTTAAAGTTCAGCTTCGGCAGGTCTGAGGACTCCCATCTCGTTGAGGCTTTGCAGGCCTGAGTTTAGGCAACAACAAGTTTCCATCATCATCATCATCATAATCATCATCATCATCATTATCATCCCAGAGAGTCCAATATCCCTTAATTAATAGGAATATGCCTCTTTAGATGATTCATAGTAGGATCCCTAGTATGATTTAAGGGTGTATATTCCTTAATGACGGGGTATTGGAGTCTCTGGGATCATCCCCAGAATGCTGCTACTGCTATTGCCAACACGACTACTACCAGTAAATCAACGACTACGACGCCTGCCACTCTTACCACTACCATTATGCGTTTTGGGGGATTTCAACTTTGCCCGGTATTCTGTGGACCTCAGCTTTGTTACCCAAGGGTCCAGGTTTGTTTCTTTCACGGGGGCTCAGTTGTTTGTATCGGTTTGTTGTGAGAGGGTTTAGCCTCGTGTTGGTCTGAGAGGGCTTGGTCTTTGAACAGAATGTGTTCAACAGGAGTTTGGTGCTTGTCGCTCGAAGAGAAGGGGGGGGGATCTGCCTGTTTCCATGATCCCTCTTTCAATAGCCTGGGTTGGGATTGGTGCTCTTGCTATAAGCGCTGTATAGACGTTGTTTTCAGATGTGTTTTTTTCCCGAGCTTGTTCCAAGGGGCTGTCAGAATCAAGCATTCTTCTGCTTGTTTGCTCTGGGCTTTCGAGGCTTTGGGCTATTTAGGGCATCTAGGGAGGGTTTAGGGGTTTAGGGTTTCAATAGTCACGGAGTCAAGGTTTTGGGGGTCTGGGTCTCATACTTTGGGGGGGTTTTCGTCCGGTTCTTCAGGGTTTCGGCTTGCAAGGTCCGGGTGCTAAACAGGGTCTTACATGAGGTCCCACACCGCTTCCACGCTGTTGGAAATTGATCCGAACATGCGTTTTAGGGGCCAGCGCAGGTCACATCCGAAGCTACTAAACATTCGCAACGCTTGAAGTAGAGGGGTGTTGTAGAGGTATCTGGTGAGTTGTTTTTGAAGGCCACGTTTACTGCTTATGAACCCTAACCCCTGGGCAGCATCATGTTCAGCCCGTAAACTACGTAGTGCACTCCTGGCGGCTGTGAGGATGGTGATGCCAGAGCCATGGTTCTGAGGTGGTATGCTCAGCTCACTCGCTTCTTCGCTGGCCCCTTTTTGTATTCCTCATAGATCCCTTAGAGTAACTACCACTCATAGCAACCCCTTGCTCAGCCAACAGCTGGACTTTTTTGGAAAGGGGGGGGGTTTGGGGTGTTGATCTTGGATTCTCGATCTCGGAGATGCAAGTCTTGGCTTTGGGATCTCGGGTCTGCACCCTGTAAGATAGTGGCCTTAATTCATCATTACCTATACTATTTTGGGGTTGCTTATTAAGATTGTAGCAAAATGGGCCCCAAAACCCTTTTCTAGTTATCAAGGCCCCTATACCATAGAAGCCTTATAGGAACCCTTTTAGATCCCTTAAAGGGTCCCTTTAAAGCCCCTGCATTGCGAAATGCGAGTGAAAATGCTTCTAAGCCCTCAACCTGAGGCACTCGCAACTCTGGTGGTGCTTCCGGGGTTCTATAACCCAGAGGGTCCATATACACTACCATTATGGAATTAAGTTCCCAAAACCTTGATAGGGATGGTCTTTCGGTACCTAATTCCATAGTAGTAGTGTATATGGACCTTCTTGTAAGATGTCTGTGAGGGTTCTAGCATTCAGGGTCGCCTGCGGACCAGGGTTGAGGATTTTATGGGCGGAACTCAAGGTTTGGGTTTTAGGGAACTGGGTTCATCCCTAAACATGGAACCCCGAAACCCTAAGCCCCGAAACAGGCAAGCCGTAAAGCCAAGGATTGAGTTGATGGCGGCAAAGGATGCGGCGGGCTCGAAAGTTCGATGTCAACATAAGCTTGTTGAATTACCCCCTAAACCCCTAAACCCGAAGCCGGAATCTCCCTAAATCCTAAACCCCAAACCCCCTAAACCCCTAACTCGGGCGGGTTCCATGAGGGTTTTGGGTGTTGGGTCGAGGGCGGGGTTCAGGTTGTGCTCTGTGGGATTTTTGGCTTAAGGGTTCTGCAGGTTTAGGATTTTCGGTTTCGTGTTTAGGGTTTTGAAGGCGTCGATTGGGATGTCTTGAGTCTTGACGCGGGCATCTTGCTGTAGGGCCAAGAGTTGCAAGAAGCTTTTCAGAAAAGCCCAGGGGACTGTCGAAATCTCGTGGCGAGGCGATGCAATCGCTTTCAAGATCTCCGCATCAAGTGTTCAGACCTCTTTTGCACGAAATAGGCCTTAAAGCCCTAAGTAGACTTCAGCCGTTGCGCCCCCCCAATACCCTCGAGGTCTTCGAGCCCTTGCAGCCGGACTCACCGCACCCCTCCTGGCGTCATGCGATCTTCAACGAGCCCACCGGCAGCCAACAGAAGTCTTGAAATCACTGCTCTTCACGGTCTATGGCCTATGGTTTAATATCGGATCAGGGTTTATAAGTTCCTCCAAGCTCGGGGTCTGTGTGTTTGGGGTCCGCACAGGAATCTTGCATTTCTGGCAGTACCGCTGTCATCATCATCGTCGTTGCTTTGTGACGGCTGCCTGCTGTGAATACCAGCATCATCTGCGGCAGCGTAGTGATTTTGGAAGGTAGAGGTTGTGAACGGGCTTCGGATGCCCGTATGGCTTATGGGGCCTTCATCGGGCCATACAGAAGCCTGAACAACTAATCAGTCAAACTGCTCATTAAGCGCGCGTTCATATTTCTGTCGTAAAATAGGTTTCTTTACCTCGTTCCAACTACTGAGGCGTTTTTGTTTGTTCGCGACATCAATACCGAAACTCCAAAGCCACAAACCCCACAGCCCCAAAGCCCCGTTGTTACATGTGCAGACTGTCGCTGTGTATGTCGAATTCTCCAGTCACGGCTGTCGTGGCTGTGGTCGCAATACTTAGGTTCTTTCCTGAGCCTTTGTTTGGTTTAGGATTTCGGTTTCAGGGTGTAAGGGGTTTAGGGATTTCAGATCCTGCGCTGCTAGCTTCTTCTGTAACCATGAGAGCGGCATCAACAAATGTTGAATGCCAAACCTGAAGAGCTGTGGGCCCCGGCCCAATACCCACTGATTGAGGTGAGGAAAAGATCTTAACTCAACTTCAGTTTCCCTCTTTACCTCACAGGAAAATTTGGACTTTCGAACACATGAGCCGCCCTCGTTGAACAATGACTATAGCAGCGATGTTGATGCTAAGGGGTTTGCTCAAGCAGGGGTCTGCATTGATCCTCCCAGGCTCAAAGCCCTAAACCCCTCTAAACCAACCCTGAAACGGGAGCCGTAGTCAGACTGACTGTCTGAGGTATGGAACGCATGACAAGAAGCTTTGAGCTGAAAAAAGAGAATATCTCAGAGTGCTTCCGGTAGTGGGTTGGGTCCCAGGGCAGCGCCAAGCTGTCTGGTATTTTGGAGTTCAGGATTCTGATGCCTTGTGGGACGTTGGGTTGAGGGTTCAGGGGTTTGAGGCTTCTGGTGGGGTTTCAGGGTTGAAGATTCAGGCCTTGAGGTGTTCAGGGTTAAGGTTTTAGCGGGAGCTTTAGGGGCTTTTCCTTTTCTCATGTTCTTCAGTGTTGGCTTGCGTGGCCGCTTGCTGGGACTCAGGGGTGTCAGGGGTTTACACCAGTAAACCTCAAGCCCCAATGTCTGTAATTGATGAAGTCAGACTGATTGTGCATCAGAACAGCTTAGGCTCCGGTCTAGGGTTCTAGGGTCTAGGGTTTAGGTTCAGGTCTTGAGGTTCAAGGTGTTACCCAAGCACTCCTTAACCCTGAATCTATCTCCCCGAGTGCTGCCGGCACATCCTCGCCAGGTCTTCTTCCTTCAGGGTCTTAGGGTTTGTTCTTTGGAGGGTTTCTTCTGAATTTCGGCTCATAGAGGTTTGGTGTTTAGGGGTTTAGGGGTTTAGGGTGTATTGTTTAGGGCTTGGTGTTTAGGGTTTAGGGTTTCGGGGGCTTTAAGGGTTTCAGGGTCTCGGCTTGGTCCCTTTCTTGTGGGCTCCCATGGAAAATGACGGACAGCTTGCAACTGTGCAGCTGCTGGCTCAAGACGTTTCGCCCGCGAATCTAACGCCCCCAAGCCCCAAAACCCTAAAACCTAAACCTAAAGCCCTAAAGCCTAAAGCCCTTCAACGCTAAACTCCATACCCTGAACCCTAACAGCCCAGAGTCTCCACCTAAAGCCCTAACCCCCCTCCCTCACCCTCAACCCCCGAAACTCTGATCTCCCAACCTTCAACCCTACGCTACCCGAGCTCGGACCGAGGCTGGCCCTTAAACCTCCCAACAATGGCAGAAAAAAAAGAGACCAACTCCTAGGGTTTCGGGTTTAGGGGTTTTGGGTGATTGGTGAAAGTAATCCCTTCTGCTCACTATACACTTGTACTGTTTTTTTTTTTTTTTTCCCGGGGGTTTGTGCAGTGAAAGCGTGAATCCTCGGTCCCATCGCATGGCGGGCATAAATGCGGAGTTGAACGACGAGCACGCCGACGACGCGACATGGGTCTTGACGAGCAGCTTCTGTATTTTGACGATGCAAAGCGGCTTCGGGATGCTGGAAATGGGAAGCTCATCGAAAGGCCACGAAGTAAATATCGTGCTCAAGAATATCTTCGATGTTGTTTGTGGTGCGATGGCTTACTACATGGTAGGCTATGGCCTGTCTTATGGTGAACCTTGGCCGATCATGAGTATTTGATGTGTTCAGTTTTGTACACTGTGTTGAACAAAACATGTACTAAGAGCCCTAACCCTAAATCCCGAAATCCCACAAAGTTGAACAGCGCAGGAACCATCAAACTGGTTCATGGGTCAGGGCGATTTCTTCGTGGACGCCAATGACGGGGACCACTTGGACACGGGACTGATCCACAGCAGGCGGGACTGTGTGGAAATCCGGGCTGTTGGTGGCTTGTTTATAGGACTCTCTATGAATAGTGGTGAGTGCACCTAAACTCAAAAGCTTAAACCCCCCAACAGAACACCCTCCTGCAGGTACATCTTTCAGTTCAGTTTTGCTGCCACCTCGACGACGATTGTCAGCGGGTGTCTTGCAATGAGATGTCGTTTCCTGGTCTACTGCTTCTATTCGTTTTATTCTGTCATAGTGTATGCCTTCGTCGCCCACTGGGAGTGGGCCCCGAATGGGTGGCTGAAGCTAGGCCGGTCTTGAACATGACTTTCCGACTCATTTTTGCGAGCAGGAAGAAGCATTTCTTCAGACTTTGATCTTGGCATTGCTGAACCCCTAACCACGGGCGCTCTTCTAAACAAACCCAAATGCCCGAAGCCCTTCACCCCTAAACCCTTAAACCCTAAACCCTAAAAAAATCTGAACAGTAAGCCTAGGAAACAGCTGGGTGTGCACGACTTCGCCGGAAGCGGTGCTGTCAGCCTGCTGGGAGCCATGTGCCCCGACCAAGCGGAGCATTTCTGTGAGGTTGTGGGGGTAAACCCTAACCCCCAGGGTGTAGGGTTTAGGGCTTAGGGTCTATCACACACCCTGGTGGGTAGAGACTGTTGTTTGACCTGAGACTGGGACTTTTCATAATGCTTCACAGTTTTCCTCCTTGATTCGGCTTTGGGCTTCAGGAGTTTTGCGTGCTTTCTTTTGTAGATTTTGCTAGTTTTCCTCAGGTTTGTAAGAAGCATGTTCTGTTTTAAGGGTGGGATTTATGGGCGTTCGGGTTTGGGATTCAGGGCTTAGGGGTAACACTTATCCAAGATGGACTGCCACATCATGGCAGCAAGTACCACCAATGCCCGTTTCCAGGCCGTAGATGCTGGAGGTTTGAAGTACAGGCCACCCCCCATCGAGCCTAAACCCTAAGCCCTACAGAACCCCGACTGAGCCGGATTTCATGCAGGAATGGTCTCATCGGTATCCTGTGGCTGGGCCCCAGATTGGGGCGCTTCGACGGAACCCGACTCTCCACCGACTTTAAGCCATCTTCTCCCACGACCATCCTTTTTGGATTGTTCATGCCGCTCAGAACTGACGGTTTAGGGTTAAGGGTAATTTAGGGTTTCCTTTTTTGGATTGTTCATGCCACTTCCTGCAAATAGCACGGTTTAGGGTTTACGCTTTCCTCTTCTGGATTCTTCATGCCGCTCAGAACTGACGGTTTAGGATTTAGGGTTTAGGGTTTTAGGGTTTAGAGCGTGCCGCTTCCTGCAATAGCAAGTGTCAGTGGCAATGCTCGTGAACACCATAAGTCTATTGCTGTCATCAAGATATGATATACATTGAGGGTCACGATTAGGTCAGCCAGGTCTGCAGGGGCTGGAGAAGCAAGCGGTTTCCTAAACACTCGGGCGCTGAACCACAAGCCAAAAAACCTCAATCCCTAAACCCGAATACCCAGAACTCGGAACCCTAAGCCCAGGACTTGCTAAAACCCACAGTCAGTAGATACTATGTGCAGACTGTAGATGCCAGAGTGGGTAATGTAGCAACCTGATTAAGAAATCCTGGCCCTATAGCCCCCAATGTACTAGGATGCTTTCAAGGAATTCTAAAAAAAGACCCAAGGTTTTCTAACTTAAAGAACTCAAATAAGATAAAGACCCAAGATTTCTAAATCAGGTTCCTACATTACAAGTTGTGTGCTGGGGTACCGAGGCTATGGTGGGGCTGGATTGGCTTCAACTGCGGGAGTTCGTTTGGAATCACAAAGCTCCTCCTCTACAGTCTGTGGGGTTCCTATTCCCAGACCCCCGGGAGGATCTAGATCCCCTAATTTGGGGCCCTATACTACTAAGGGTACTTTATAGGAACCCCCATTAAGGGATCTACTTTTTGGATCCTCCTGGGGGTCTGGGTTAAGGAAGCTAGGGTGTATGGTTTAGTGTGTAGGGCTTAGGATCGTTTAAGGGGGTTATAGGGTCTTACTCCGTTTTAGGGTCAATGTAGGGTTTTGGTGTTTAGGGCTGAACAGGTGGAATGGGGTCATTGGTTGCATGATGCCCCCATAGTCTAAGTGTGCCGGATACGGCTAAGGATCTGAAGTTGCAAATCTGGGGATTATGAGTCAGCAGCATGTCTTCTTTCTGGTGCTTGAATTAGATCCTCTACTCCTGAAAAAGCTGTCTACCCTGTATCAGATCAGATCCTCATAAATGGCGTATACAGCACGAATAAAGTACACCAGAAAAAGCTCAGCCCTTGATGGACGAAGCCCTTGTAATGTCGACGTGGGTGGGCGTGAGCAGAAGCTGGGGGTTCAGAGCTCAAACGCAGAAGTTTGATGCCCCGTTCGACATGGTGGAACGGGAAAGCCGCCGAACCCCTGCATCCCACTCCCTCCCCTAAACCCCAAACCTTACACCGTACAAAAACCGTGGTCCCACTTCAGGACCAAATGGCTCGTCGCGACCCGTGCGGGCGTGGCCACACTGAACGCCACGGCTGGGGGCGGCTTCGCTGCCTTGTTCTACACCAAGGCTCCCAAAGAACTCAATTATACGATTCAGTGGGTTTAGGCTTTAGGCCTTTTCAAGCCCGAAGCCTACAGCCATGCAGCACAAACATCAAAGCACTCAGCCCTACAACCCTAAACCCGAAAACCTAAATCTGAAAACCCTAAACCATAAGCCCTAAACGATAAACGCGAAAACCCCCAACCCTAAGCCCCCAAACCCTGAAGTTAAAGCCCTTTTGCCTAAACCCTAAAGCCCTACACCGGTTTGCCAGGGTTTAGGGTTTAGGAACCAGGGTTTAGGATTTAGGAACCGTGCTTAGGATTTAGGATCCAGGGTTTAGGATTTAAGAACCAAGGTTTAGGATTTAGGAACCGTGCTTAAGATTTAGGATCCAGGGTTTAGGATTTAGGAACCGTGTTTAGGATTTAGGATCCAGGCTTTAGGATTTAGGGTTCGCGTTCAGGATTAAGGATCCAGGGTTTGAGATTTAGAAACCAAGGTTTAGGATTTAGTGAGGGGCGACGCCCTCTGACGGCTCCACAAATCTCAATGCAAACCCTAAACCCGAAGAAGGTCATAGACTTTGTGGGCGGGTTGGGAGTGAACGTGTCTAAGCGCACACGCGTGGTGGTGTGCGCGGAGAATCGACACACTCGAAACCCTTAACACTAAACCTCTAACCCCCTAGTTCCCTAAACCCCAAACCTAAACCCCAAACCCTACCTTAACCCCACTTAACCTGCCTTTTTAAGGACTTATATAAAGAAATCAGATTAGGGAACCCTAAAAAGGTAGGTTCCTTAGGGTCCAGGTAAGCCCTAATCCCAAGCCCTAAGCCCTAAACCTCTAATTAAGCTCAAAGACCTCTAAGGCCCGAAACTCTAAACTCTAAACCCTCAGCCCTTAAACCCTAAACCCCCAAACCCCTAAGCGTTTAAGCCTCTAATCCCTAAACCCCCAAACAAGGCGTTACGGCTCGAGCGCTAGGGTAGTGTAGTTTCCTCTTTGAGGTCCACTACCCGTGTCTCGTGCCGGAGACCCCAAGCGAGGCCCAAGTAGGCCCGCGAACCGACCTGCCTGAGGACTTCGTCCAGGCTAGGTCCTTCTTTTTGTGAACCTGCTCTGTACGCTCGGCGAGGAGCAGCTGTTCTTTGCCCCACTTTTCAGTGGCTGGCCAACTGCTGCCTGTGATAGGCTTAGCAGTTTGTGTTTTATAATTGGTGGCTGGGCTCCCCTGGTTTTTCATCGCATGCGTGGTCTGTTCAGTTTCCTGGTATTCTGGGCTCTCTACGGCAGTGACGAGGATTTTGGGAGAAGCTTCGTGGCACCGACGGGCCAGGCGGTCGAGAACGCGGGCTCGTTTCTTTCTACGACTGTGGCTGGCCGGCCACGTGCAGGCGTCCAAGTGGAAGCTGCAACGTGTCTGTGCCATACTGCAGGGACACCACAGCCAAAGTACACTGCCGGGCGCAGTGCTACAACGACTTCGGGAGAGCGCCATGGCAGCCCCCGGAAAGACGGGATGGTGGTGCGAGGTGTGCAACAAGCAGACCCGCCACTCCGCTACCTACTGTCCTTCTTGTGGAGGACATTGGCAGACGTGCGGAAAGACTCAGTCCTACACGGCTGCTGCGACAGCAGCACCATGGAGGGACGGATGGTGGCAAGACGAGAAGACGCCACGCAGACGAGCCACCCCTTCTCCAAGGCGCACCAAGGACCGGGGGAGGAGCGGCGGCAAGCAGCAGCCGAAGGGAGGCAAGGACAAAGGGAAAGGCAAGGCCAAGACGGACTGGAGCAAGTCCCAGCCCCAACCGCCTCAGCTGGATCAGCTACCGGCGGGGCCTGCAGCTCCCAACCTTCCCGGACCTCGTGCTGCAGCAGTGGAGACACAGGTCTCCCCTATGAAGACCCAGATGGACGCGCTTCTGGGTATCCTCTCGAGTTCCTCAGCGTCTCTGCCCCCAGAAGCTCAACAGATGATAGCAGTCATGCAGGAATCCAACTCGCAGAGCAGTGCCAAAGCCATGCACAGGGCGGTGGCAGATCAGGCCAAGGCCCGCCAAGCGCTGGCCAGGATGCAAACCCAGAAGGCTTCATACCTTCAATCCTGGCACGCGTACGTGTCAGACCTGGCAGCGCTTCTGGAAACGCAGATTGCGGAGCAGGTCAAGGTGATGAGCGACTTCGAGGAGAAGGAGCTACAATGGTCGCAGGCAGAGGCCCAGGCGACACAGCAACTGGCTCGCCTTACGGGAGCCAAGGAAGATGCCTCGGATGGAGGCGAGCGGGACATGGAGGACGCCGAGAATGCCGTCGATGCGGACATCGAGGAGGCACAACGGCTCCAGAAAGCGTCTGCCGAAAGCCAGGCATCAGCCAGGCAAATGTTGGCAGCGCTCCAGGAAATGAAGCAAGCAGCGGCGGACCAAGCACAGCAGCAGGCCAGGGAAGGGTCCCGGACGCCCAGAAGGTCGTCGCAGCCCGAGCCCAACAAGGGCCGAGGACAGAACGATGGTGGTGCAGGTGGCAACGACCAGTTCAAGCTTGCTTCGCAGTGTCCTGGCGGGGCCCATACCTAGGTCTCTCGACTATGTATGGGCCGATTCCTTCTCTCGGCGGCATGGCTTGCCGTTCGATCGAGTTTGAAGCCGACTACGTGGGGCCCTCCGCGGCAGCGATTCTCGGCATTATGAACAGTTTTGATGCAGCGGTGGATGACCTTCCGAGCTTTGCTCGTCACACCACTTGGCTGGACCCTCGGGTACGCGGCTGGGAGAATTGTTGCCTCCCCGCCTCGGTCTCCCACTACGACCATAGCCTTTTTGAGGCTAATGTGCTTCTTGGCCGGTGTTTGCCTCGGCCGCTCTGCTGTGCCAAGGCCGATGCCGTGCAGAGTACCATTTCTTCGGCTGTACTCCACCAACTGGAGCTTGCCCAGGCTTCTCGGCGGGCCTCCCGGTACACATTCCGTTCTCCTGTTTTGCATATGGCTGGGCAAACAGTTGAGAATGACGAAGTGTGCCGAGAGGACAAAGAGACTTCTGGGGCAACCTTCAGGGCTGGCGGGGCGGCTGCATGTGAGGAGTGCTTCTGTGGACCTGTGAGCCGGTCCTCTTGTACAAAGGTAGGTAGAGTTGTTCGTTTTTCGGATGTTCCGGAGACGCGCCACTTTGACCCCTGTGAGCCAACCGGGGTCCTGACATCTACTTCTGCTCCTTGTCACGCGCAGGGCGGTGCCTTGTCGGACCCTAGCGTGAACCTCGGGGCAGCAGCCCACCTTGTGCATCTTCCGCCTCTTTTGCTGGATCGTGTGCCGCCCGCTGCGTGCACCGATGCCACTACTCCCCTCACTGGCTTCAAGGACGGTACCTGTCGAGCCTTGGCCAGACCTCGCCCCCACCACCAGGGGGTCCTCCCACTTACCGACCTGCTGCCAGCCCCGTCGCAGCCTGTGCGGTCACCTGGGACTTGCACGGCGGCAACCCTCCTTACTACTCCCCCCTCCGCCACCTCGGAGGTTTCACTGCAAGGCGACCAGTGCGCAGCGGAACTTGCTCGACTCCCTCCCCCTCCGCTCCTGGAGGTGCCACTTGCAGACGACGGTCATGCAGGTCACACCCTAGCCCTCTCGCACCATGTGCGGGTGATACCCAGCACGGTCTGTGTCCACGGCCCACCCTTGCGATTGCTTCCTGGCACTAAGGCGGTGTGCCCGCTACACCTGGATGTTGGCAGTCAGCCTCTCCAGGATGAAGCGGATCTTTTCCTCTGGCCTTGCTGCATTGGCTCTATGCACGACGGCTTTCAACTTGCCGACGGCGTGCTACCTGGGTTCCGTGGAGTGCAAATCCCTCCAGGACAGCCAGTTCACAAGGCCCCGCGTCCACCACCGATGATTAGCGATTTGAGGGCCATGCTTACGGCGCAGCTCCCTATTACGCCACAGTGGCTGCAGGGGCCACTTCTCAATTGGTCACCCTTTGAGATCAGAGGCCTCTTTGCACGAGCTGCTGATGTCGAGGAACAACGTCTTTTTACAATTCTTGAATGCAGAATGGACCATTTGGTCCGGGGAGCTCGCCCAGACTGGAGCATTCTTGACTACATGACGGCAGCCGTGTATACAGTACCATATCAGGTGCGTTCAATCTGGGTTGTCACAAGACCCTTGGAGGGGGTCCCAGTGCCCCAGATAGTTCTAACGGCCAGAAACGCCCCTCCGGCGCATCGTGCTTTGCCAGTTGATCTCCGCCAAGTGAGCGGCCTCCTTCACACTGTTTTAGTGCCGGTCCCCTGTACCGAGGAGGCTATCTGGGATGCCCTTACTGAGAAAGGCGTTGACCCGCAGAACAGGCTCCGTCGCGCCCAAGAGCAAGGTTCGGCTTCCTTTTTCAATGAACGGGGCGAGGTCGTCACTGCAGTCGAGCCAGGCCCTGATGGGCCAGAGTGGCTCGCCCTGCGCTGGACCGCAGCTGGCGAACCTCCCATCAATGTTGACTACGAGGGTGTGCCACGGCCGCTTCATCGGATGCAGGTCGAGGGGACCACCAGCACCACCACCCAGGCGAAGGCACAGCACAGAGCTAGCTCCAGCAGAGATGCCATGCCGCTTGGGCCACGTACCGAGCCCCCCGCCCTCTTGTTGAGCGCTGCAAACGCTGCATCTTCCAAACAATGGGGGCATGGGCCGCAGGACGCCACACTGCTGCCTGAATACTTGGACTCCGAGCACTTCCACAATCAGAATGTCTGCCTGTTTTCATGGGGTACGACTACAGCTGAAGCGCGGGAACGCTTCACGGTCTTTGATACCCATCGGCATGTTGTCCTCATTGGCAAGGACAGCACTTCTACGTTGAAGGACATCGTTGAAGCTGCCATAGCGACTGCGCCTTTTCGCGTCAGGGCTATCCAAGTCTTGATTGATACGCTCCCTGGACTTCCGAAGCCGCAGCTCATTTTGTTCCAAGCCGGGGTGCGTCTTGATCATGCGCCAGTTCCTTGGGATCTGCGGGAGGTTGGTGGCAACATCTATACTGTGCTACACAAGCAAGGGGAGCTTGTGTCCAATGCCATCGATCGGCTCCAACAGGTCGCGCCGCCGGCCCCACCGATCTGCGACGCCCTTCGGGCAGGTAGGCTGGTTGTGATTGATTGACACTTTGGGTTTGCTAGGGCTTCGTCTTCCGGGTGACCTCGAAGAATCTCAGCATTATCGTGTCCAGGCTGCAGTGTGCCCACCTGTGCCTGTTTCCAGCCTATCTGGCAGCGATGCTCCGGCCAGTACAGCCGCGCTTCCGCAACTGGCCACGGCCTCCACTACATCGACAACCACCACTGTCCCTGGCAGGCCAATCGGCACCCTGTATCGCCTCACCCTCCTCCATGGGACGGCTTCGCACACGGTGACCGTTACTTCCCCGGGCTACCAATTCCCGGCCATTCTGTGGACAGCTGTGCTCGAAGTTCTTGCGCAGCAACCCTGGCCCGGCGGGCCACTCTACGCTGTCGCGGCTACTGCCCAGCCGCCTTGCGTAGAAGGCGTCCAGGAGATTCTGATGATGCTTTGCCATGGGCCAGGCATGGAACCCATTACGGTTGCCGTCGACGAGCGAGGCCAGGACAACGGGCTTATGTCGTGCATGCTTCCGGCTGCCACTCCATGCAGTCAATTGGTAGCATCTGCCTGGCAGAACCAAGATGTGCAGGCTTTTGTGAACGGTGTTCCTAGTTGTCTCCTCCGTCGCACTGTCTGCACTGGGGACTACTTGCAATACGCCGTCGATGGCCAAACTCCGACGAGCACACCTTTGGGAGCCATCCTCAACCTCTTCCCCATTCTGGAGGCTTTTGTTTGGCCTCAGCTCCTGGGGCCCAGCGCATATACCTTGGACGTGACTGGGGAGGTGCGGCTGAGGCGAAGACTCCAGAGCCCATATGTGCATTGGGAAGGAACCTGCGAGATACAAGGTCCCACTCATGGACCTATCAGGTACAGGATGCCAGTCCCGCAGTTTCCGTCTTTAGAGGAAGCACAGGCAGGCCTCGCACAATTCCCCGATGCTCCAGCGGCCTCCCTTCAGATCCTCCCGGCATCCCAGCTTTATGGACGGTATGCAGTTTTCGTTTCCGTCGATGCTCGCACTCCGTACCGCAATGTGTTCTTGCCACGTACCAATTTTCCCGGGCACTTCTCAGTGTTGACCATTGGCCCCACAGAGGTCAACCTTCCGATCCCGCTCCCAGAAGGTGGCATCTATAAGATTCCCCGACGGCCTTGGCAGCATGGTAATATCATCGAGGTGTTGATCCTGCCCCCTGTTGCCAGACCATATGCCTATTTCATCGCTCGCGGCTTGCCATTGCCCACTGGGGTTGGTCAACAGGGACCAGCCCCTCGTCCCAACCCGGTCCAGCAGGTCCAGCGAGAAGGTACCAATCTGGCACAGATTAGGATTGTGAGGGGCGCCAGCTCACAACCCGACAGGTGCCGAAGCCTCAGCACAGCACGCAAACAAGAAGGGTGCACATGCAACAAGGCTAAGGTCACGTGCCCCCCGGCGCCCAGCGAGCAGCCTAGCCTGCCAGTACTTGTCCCGGCCGACATGTGCCGCTTCACCCCTGAGCCTCGGAGCCTCGTTGACCTGCCCGCCGAAGGCATCAGCACGTCTGGCTGCAAACCCCCGGTTCAGGGATCTAGGGATACTTCAGGTGTGCCTCTCGGCTGCAACACCCTGCACCAGCAGGGACCGAGAGGCCAGGGGATACCTTCTGTCGTCTCGGCCCGGAGCGTGCCTACGCCTTTCGGCCGCCGAACCCTGCCTGCGTCACCCAGGCCGACAGCTGTCTGTGCTCCCGACGTTCTACAGCTACGTAAGCCCAAACAAGTCCTGTGCCTTGATACTCTGTTACCGATACCGGAGAACGGCACAGATCCGCAACCGCCTGGTGAGGCCCCTGCCATCTTTCCAGTTACCTCCGACCTCGTTGATGACTTTTTCAGGGGATTCCACTATAGCGGTCTGGGCTTCGACCTTCAAGGGGTTCACCTGCACCCTCAGGCACAGAATATGCTGCGCCTTCTCCCCCGCCAGGTCATCTCAGAGCAAACTGATGCCGTTCAGCTCTATGTTGACGGCTCCTTCAAGGAGGGCCGCGGAGGATGGGCCGTTGTTGCTTTCGCACGGCAGAACTCGGTTTGGGGATGGGCTGGGCACTTGACGGGAACTTATCTCAACTGTCTTCCAATCCGTAGTGCTTTTGAGCCAGAACTTGCAGCTCAATTTGTTGCGCGTTGCCTCACGGCAACCTTGCCCTGCCAGGCTGGAATCTGTTTTGATTCCACTGGAGCTGCCAGCGTTGCTGATCGCGGCGGCATTTCTGCCCATGAGCAACCACTTGCGGAAGCCACGCTTGCTGTCACTGCCTTTCTGCGTCTTGCACACCGGGAGCCCCTGTCTCTCCACGTGCATGCACATGAAGGGCAAGCTGCCAATGAGCTTGCTGACAGCCTCGCCAAAGCCTCCCTCTGCGCGGTACCTGCCTGTTCTGCAACAGGCCTTGCTGATGTCGCACAGAGTATCCTGCAGCGCGACTTCAGTTGGCTATGGATGTACGCCCCCCGTCTCGGGGGGTTTCCTGACATCGACGCAGTCGGGCACATAGTGCCGAGCCCACCCAGCTCACGCATTTTGCCAATCGCCACTCCTTCCGCTTGGGCGCCCGACTGGAGCGCGCCTCCCCGACAGGCGGGGCCGATCTCGTGCAAATGGAGGCTATGCACATATAACACCCTCTCCGCGCTCAAACCGGTACAGCGCAAATGCCTCTGTGCGGCCATGAAACAGCACGGGATCGACATTTTAGCGCTCCAGGAGACCCGCATCCAAGGGCAGGCCGTTGAACTCGCGGATGGCATCCTCAAGCTCGCCTCCGATGCATCCGAAGGCCAAGAGGGATGCCAGCTCTGGCTGCGCATCGAAGGCCCGGGGGGGTGGGACCCATCCAAAGTCTGCGTTGCTTATGCCCACCCCAGGCTCCTGGTTGTCTATGCGCAGTGGGGCAGCCTCCGCCTGGCATTCCTGGTTGCTCATGCACGCACAACGGTTACGGCTGATAACGCTGTCCATGACTTTTGGCAACTCTCGCAGCCGCCTTGATGCCCTTCCCCCGGGCACTGTGCCCATCTTCATGGGCGACTGCAACGCCCGTTACACTGCTCGAGGCATGGTGCTCCAGCCGGAGAATCTCAACGCACAGTGCTTTGATGACCTTTGCACTACCTCTGGGCTGTGGCATACTGGCATAACCGCAGCAGACGGGTCACCTTTGCGGACCTGGCGGTCACCTCACGGTTTCCCGACATGCCTCGACTACTTTGGGGTCCCGGAGTCCTGGCAAAGTGGTCTCAGCAGACTTCGTACTGTGGATTTCCTTGACCTGCACGCAGAAATTGACCACTGGCCACTCGTTGTCGATGTTGAGGTTTTTGCGCTTCCTCCGCCTCCCCGAGCAAAGGCACCGGACACAGAACTTATGCTCACCGCGGAGGGCAGGTCTGCCATCCACAACATTATGCAGCGTGTGCCCCCTATTCCTTGGGCAATGGAGGCCAACGACCACCTTGCCTGTTTGAATAGCTATTTTCAGCGTGCTATCAAGCAGCACTTCGGGGCTACCCGATCACGGCCCCGTTGTCCCTACCTGACCCAGGACACGTGGTTGCTCTTGGCACACCGCCGGCATCTGCGCCGCATTCATCGGCGGCGGGCGACCCTCCACCTCAGGGAAGTTCTACATGCCACTTTTCGTGCATGGGCGGCAGCACCGCGTTGCAGCACCGCAGATGACTTCGGAGCGCGCTTTGCAGCCCTGCGACTTCGAAATGACTGCTGGGCTTTCCTGCACCTTCGGCGCATGCGTGGTACCTCGAAGATGATCCGAGCTTCGTTTCGCACGGATGCCGCTAACTTCGCCAGAGAAAACATGCGAGCCGCACGCAGTGCCGGCCCGGCAGAGCTTGCCCGACTCCTCCGCTCTGTCTTGAAGTCTGGCCGTGCATATAAACCACCTAGGGTTGCTGTAGTGCTACAGGGCCCTGAGGGAGAGATATGGGATGAGGAGGCCGTGGCAGCGAAGTTCAGTGAACATTTCGGCAAGGCTGAACAAGCAACTCCCAAGCAGCTCGCCGAGGTCGCTAAAGACTCCCTCGCTGTCGTGCCGGACCAGCCGGTACCCGTCGAGGCACTACCTTCTCTGGCCCACATCACCCGAGCTTTTGCAGGCCTGAAGCCTCGTCGTGCCAGCGGCATCTCCCGCATTTCACCTGCCTTCTATAGCTCCGACCCGTTGGGGGCCGCCCTTGCCCACCTCCCACTGCTTCTCAAAGCTTCACTCCGTGGTACTGTCCCGTGCCTATGGAAGGGGAGTGTTGCGAGGCCCCTTGCCAAACCGGGTAAAAATCCCAAGAGCACCTCTGGGTACCGCAGCATAGCCCTGCAGGAACCCGCAGCGAAAGCTTTGCAAAAGGCTTTTAGACCAGAAATCGCGCGGGGTTTCGAAGCGCACACATTGGCTTCGGCCGGTGGGGCAAGAAAGGGTATCCCGTTGACCCTCCCGGCTTTGACTATCCAGTCGCACATCCAGCTTGCAGCGAGGCGGGGAGTTTCCGCTTCTGTCGTTTTTCTGGACGGCATTTCAGCCTTTTACAGTGTTGAGAGACTCCCGTTGTTCTCTGCTGACAGAGGGGCTCTGGAGCAGGCACTTTGGGCCCTCCCGGTCGAGCCACTCGTGGTTCAGACCTTCCTCCACCACCTTCCTCCTCAAGGGGTGCTTTCGGCCCTCGGCGTCTCCCAGCCTTCGCAGCATGTGCTCCAGCAATTCCTTACCGAGACGTGGTTTACTACTTTCCCCACCTCGCCAGTGGTGCAATCCACCCAAGTTGGAACAGTGCCTGGGGCCCCCCTTGCCGACATACTCTTCCAAGCGATTGCCCTTGCAGCGCTGAAAACAATTGAGGAGCTCATGCGCTCCGAGAGGCTGGCTGCGGCCATCCACATCGGCCACAATCCCGTCACGGCCGAGCCCACTACGTGGCTGGATGACCTCGCTCTCCTTGTGGAATCCTCGCGGCCAGCTGAGCTCGGTGCGGCGACTGCCAGGGCAGCTTCGCTGGCTCAACAATGTTTGCTGCTCATTGGAGTGCGCACAAACTTCGAGCCGGGCAAGACCGAGGCTCTACTTGTGCATAGGGGACGGGGCAGCCGAGCCGCTAAGCACGCTGTTTTCATCGAGGGCGGGGCTACTCTTATCCTTCCAGGGCCTTCAGGCCAAGCACACCGCCTCCGGTGTGTCTCGTCCTACGTGCACCTGGGCACGCAGCGAGTCGTCTCAGGCTCGGCGAGCACTGACTTGCAACGACGTGCCGGCCTTGCACGTGCGCTCTTCCGTCCCATGCGAGCCCGCCTTTTGCGCAATCCGGGACTCTCTATTGCAGAGCGCACACGGCTACTAGTGGGATCCGTTTTGGCGTCCTTCTTGCATGGTACTGAGACATGGCCGTTGCAAGTTGCGTCCGAATACCAGGTTTTCCGGCGCCTGTACATGGGTTTCCTTCGTGGCTCAATTCGCCCGATCTTCGGATTTCCGTGCAAGCGGCTCAACGATGGAGCGGTGTGTGCACTCCTCAGTGCCTCGGATCCCCGAGAGGAGCTAGCGATCCGTAGGCTCAGGGCTTTCGGACAGGTCTGCCGTGAAGGCTCAGCCTTCCTGCGAGCCACCCTGGTTAACGAGCAGACCTGGCTGAGAGCTATCCAGTCAGACCTCTGCCTGACCGCACAGACTCTCCCCAACGAAGTTGTGCCGGTCCTCCCTGGGCCACCGAGCTTAACATGGTTTGGCCTCTGGTCTAAGGACGCTGCCCAGACCGCTGGCTTTCTCCGGCGTTTCCGTCAAGCTGCCATCCATACACGGGAGGAGCTACGAGAGGGTGCCGAACGCAGAGGACAGTTCTTCCTGCGAGCTGACCAACTCGGCTTGAGGGTCTTCAGTGAGGCCGCGATATGGCCCAACCTGGGTGATGAAGGTGGCCAGCACCCCTGCGATCAATGCGGGCGCTCCTTTGACTCAGCTGCTGCCCTTGGAGCCCACAGGAAGAGGACTCATGGCATCGGAGCTGCACACTCCGTCGCATTCGGTACGGCATGCCAGGTTTGCTCCAAAGAATTTTGGACCAATTCTAGGCTCCGGCTCCACCTCAAAGTCAGCCCTGCTTGTACCAATGTGGTCGCTGCCAGCGACATTACCGAGGAGGCTCCTGGCCATGATGCCGCCCAGGCATCACTTCCGGTGACCACACTCATCGGACCGCGCCCATTTTGGGCTACACTGCGGCCACCCCCTGCTCCGCTTACCGCTGCTGCTGCCCCTGCCACTGACTGGCTCCAGGAGGCCTTGCAGCATGCCGCACAACCTCTAGACCTCCGGTTCTTTAAGGCTTGTCAGGGTTTGCGCGACTCTGGGATGGTCGAACATTTCGCGACGCTGCGAGACCGTTGCCATAGCGGCGACGATGTCCTCAAAGCCGCTTTTGACGTGGCTGATCAGGGGCACTTTTACGAGATCGGCGCCATTGTACAGCACGGCGCAATCTCGGTGCACAGACGAGAGGATGGTTTTACCTTCGGGAACCATACTCACCTGATTCAGTTGCGAGCCGCTTTTGGCTAAGGTTTGGTTTTCATCAAGGACTTTGCAAGCTCGAATTCACGAGCGCGACTACGGTCACAGGCATCCATCGGAAAAAAACCCCCAAACAACTCCGACGGAGGCGAAGTCGAGAGGTGTGCTGATATCTCCGGAAGAGATGCCTGGAAGGTTTAGGAGTTAGAGACCTTAGGGGCTTAGTGGAGAGGTTTGGGGTTTAGAGGTTGAGGGTCTAGGGCGTAGAGGTTTAGGGTTTCGGTTTTTTTGGGTTTAGTGGTTTAGGGTTTTAGGGGCTTAGAGTTTTCGGGTTTAGGAGTTAGGGGCTCAGAGGTTTAGTAGGGTTTCGTTTTTTGGCTAAAGTTTGCTTGTGCTTTTTCGGTGCTTTTTCGTTTGTGTAGTCTTTTAATTGATTGGCTCTACGTCTTGTAGCTTGGTTTCGGAGAGATGCTTTGTTCTTTACGTCTACTGCTGTTGATGAAGCATTTAGGGCGTTTAAGAGCCAGGGCTTTACACTGCCAACTTGGACTACCAGGGTTTAAGGATTCCTTAAAGGGCTTTTCAAAGGCTTCCTTGAAAGGTTCTTGTAGGTGGGTTTCAGTAACAGTTGGATAATATTCATAATATAGATCTATTCGGACCTTAATAGTAGCCCTATTATAGACTGTTACTGTATGGGGGCAGTACGCAAGGTTTAGGGTTTAGGGTTTAGCAAAGAAAGACCCTCAACCCAAAACCCTCGGCCCTGCACCACTTCAAAGGATTGCCAATGGACTTCTGGGCGCGCTTGTGGCCATTACGGCCACCTGTGCCTGTGTGCACCCATACGAGGCTCCCTACTGTTTGGGGCGTTTGGGGTTTACGGTTTAAGGTTTAGGGTTTAGTTTAGGGTCTAGGGTTTAGGGTTTAGGGTTGACATCCAAGCAATGAAGGGCTTGAAGGTTTCAGGGCAATTACGGTTGAGAGGCTTCAGTGTGTAACAGTGCGGGGGGCTTGTTTTTGTGTGTAGATTTCTTTAGCGATTCTGGATTCTGTTTTGGGAACACAGCTCGCTGCCTCGATCCATGTGATTTCGCATGTCTACCCCTCATTCCTCCAAAAAGACTCTGAGAAACCCTTGAACTGCTAAATCCTGTTGGTCCCGTAAACCACCCTACACCCGAACACTTGAATATCGGTGCCTGAGTGTTTGCCAATACTATTTCTTAGGGCGAGGCTCCAAGAAAACAGCGGCCCTAACAGAAACCACAGATTTCGTGTTTAGGCTTGAGGGATTTAGGGGTTGGTCTTTGGATTTAGGGTCCAGGTTTCGGGTTTGCAAGACCACTAGAATATTCTTGGACCTTTGTACAGTCATACAAACCATGATACTCTAAACCCTAAACCGGCCTTGTACAAGCCTAAGCCCCATACTCTACCTGACAAAATAAATCCGTCTCAAGACCTGACTCCTCAAAGCACCTTGTTGTTTAAACAGGCAAAGCCCTAACCTGTAAACCCTGAACCCCCCAGAAAAGCCTTAAACTTAAACCCTACGTGCTAACTCTATAACCCTAAACTCTTAAGCCTTAAACCGCGAGGCAGTGATTGTGGGTTTCGTTGGCTCGATTTCGGCCCTGGCCTCCAACGATCTCCTCGAGTACAGGCGGCCATAAACGGGATTTTTAGGGCCCCAGTGTATATAGGGCTTAGGGTTTAGGGATGTTTAGGGTTTGGGGTGCATGGTTTACGGTTTCGTGATTTAGAGATGTTCGGGATTTTAGGGCCCCAGTGTCGGGCTTTAGGAAAGCGCACTATGGTGTTTGATAGCGTTGACGGGGGTTCTTTAAGTCGGGTTGGAACCTTAAACCCTATCTTAAGCGTTTGTGTCCTTGCTGTTGTCTTCATCCTCTCTTCAACTACCTCTGCATAACTGTGGTCCTTAAACGGCCTTACACCCAAGCCCTAAACCCTCAACCCTAACCCCTAAACCCTAAACCCCTAAACCCTAAACCCCTAAACCCCTAAACCCTAAACCCTAAACCCTCAACCCCAAATCCCAATACCCCTTTTGAACCAGAAGCCTCCACACAATCCAAAACTCTGTACTCGCATGGAGGCTACACATCGACGATCCCGTGGGAGCCTGGGTTCTGGTTAAGGGATTTCAAGTTGCGATAATTGGGATCTATAGTAAATAGTAAGGTTTTTTTTGGTAACTTTAAACCCTAAACCTTACTATAAACCCTAAACCTTAAAATTAGATCCCTCAGCAAGAACCCAGGAGCTGTGGGCGTCCATGGGGCTTCGGGCATCTGGGGTCTCATCGCTGTGGGCCTCTTTGCAGATGGGAGCTTACCGGGTATTGAGGCGGGGCGGGTGGGGGGGGGTGGGGGGGGGCTTAAGTTAGGGTTTGGGGTTTAGGGTTTGGGGTTTAGGGTTGGGGGGCTTTAGGGGGTTTAAGGTCTAGGGTTTAGGGTTTGGGGGGTCTGAATCCTTCAGTAGGGCTCCTATGGTGAGGCTGCGACAGGGGTTTGATATTCATAAAGTTCTCACGCCCCTATGCTAGGGATTCTCTGGGTGCCTTGTGATTTTGGAGTGGTTGAAATATCGGCCGTAAAGTCTTCATTCCGCAGGTCTTTGCAGGCTTGTGCGCTCTTCAACTGTTTCTTGCGATGCCTCAAAAAACAGCCTAAACCCAAAACCCTGACCTGAGCCCCAAAGGGCTCAGCCTTCATATCTCACCCAAACCATGGGGACCTCGACGTCCTAAAGCTTTTGAAAAACCGGCCCAAAGCCCTGAAGGCTGAAAAGCCCTAAAGCCCTGAAGCCCGAAGGCCTTCATTCAAGGCCCTAAAGCACCAAAAGCTCCAAAAGGCAGATTAGGATTTAGGGTTTAGGGGTTGGACTGCTGGGGATTGAAAAGGCTAAAACCCCTCAAGCACTAAGCCCTCGAAGCTCTAAGCCCTAAACCTTTAACCCTAGAAACCCTTGAATGAAAGCCAGTGAAGCCAGGCAGAAGACTTCAAAATTTAAGGTATGTTCCTTAATTAAGGGATATTGGGTTCTCTGGACCCTAAACCCTAAACCCAAAACCCAAACCCCAAACCCTAAACCCTAAACCCAAAACCCTAAACCCTTATAAACCCCAAACCCTAAACCCTAAACTCTCTGGGAAGCCAGGTAGAAGACGGTCTCTTCCACGGCGGGAGCCCCCGCCTTCTGGCTGTACAGCTGCTCTGCGGCTCTTCTCGGATTAGACTGGGGTTCAGGGTTTAGGGCTTAAAGGGTTTAGGCTTTTGGGGTATAGGGTTTAGGGCTTAGGCTTTTTGGGGTTAGGGTGGGTTTAGGGCCTAGGGCTTCAGGGCTTTAGGGCTTCAGGGCTGTAGGGTTTAGGGTTTATCGGGTTTAGTACCAGGGTTCAGGGTCCCTAAGCAGTAAACCCTAAGCGGTCTAAGCCCTAAACGCTCTTCAGGGTTACGCTTTTGTTGGTTTCAGGTTTCAGCCATGGTTTCGGGGGTTCCGTTAGGGTTTCGAGTGCACTTCGCACTTGGGGTCAATGTTGGGGGTTGAGGTTTTGTCGGTGGCTTTTCTGATTTCTGAGCCGGAAGGAACCCTGTGAAGGAGCCTTATTGTCGCATTTCGTTAGAGCCCTGTACGTATAAATCCTTGTAGAAGCCTCGTTTAGAGTTTAAGATTGAGGTGCGGAACTACCCTTCTCGCAGGTAGGGTCGTGGGTCGAGACTGTAGGGTGGAGTTTATGGGTTCAGTGTTGGGGCTGGAGTTCGATGGCTCAAATTATGCGAGGTGCCGTGTCGATCATTGGCTGGTCGCTGGCAGTTGTGACGCCTTTCTTCTATCTCCTTGGCGTTGCTTTCAGTGGGAATTGGCGCCGTCCTCGAGCCCTGCCTGTTTAGTACAGTTTCCCAAATGATTCCTAGAACTCATCCGGGCTCCGTATGTGGGATATTGGCAGCCTACACTGGAGTCGTCAGTCATTTGGTCTTCTGGAACTTCCGCCTACACAGTTCTTCTGCATATTCACCAAGATCCTCTTCTGATTGTTCAGGGCCCTATGGTAGCAGGGCCCAAGGCCACCCAGCTCTTCGCTCCTCCATTAAACCCAGGAAGAGGCCTGCGCGTCGACCCCCAAGATGAGATTGGAGGCATCGATCGCAGCTACCACGAGCGTGTCTCTTGGCAGGTGGGATTTCTTAGGGCTTGGGAGTTTTTGGCTTCATCGGTTTGTATGGGTTTACAGATTTGTTTCGGGCTTATCGGGTTAACAGGGTTTTTGGATGGATTTAGAAGGTTGCAAGAGCATGCAAGAGCTTGTAGGGTTTAGGGCTTGGGGAGAGTTCCAGAAGGGTGCTGTGTTTTTTTCTACAGCCCCAAACTCGGATCCTGGGTCCTACACCCTGGAGCGCCAAGCCTCTTCGACGCACGAAAACTCGAAGCCCCCAAAGCCAAGACGGAGTTTCAGAATAGACGGGACCCTAACCCGGAACCCCAAGATTTATGGGCGATCCTTCTTTCAGGGAACCTAGAAAACACCAAAACCACCAAAACATCCCTACACCCGAAGTCCTAAGTCCTAAACCCCAAACCCTAACCCTCCAACCCTAAACCCCAAACCCGAACCCAACTGCAAAGGCGGAAAAATGCGCTCAACACAAAAAAACGAACCCAGAGTCCTAAGTCCCAAATCCCCAAAAGTCCTGGCAGGAGGGAAAAGTTGCCGGATCGCGCACAAGCACATTTTCAAGTCCCCTGGCTCTGACATCCCAGACCCCGAGAAAGTAGATGCCCTAATTTGGGGCCCTATACTACTAAGGGAACTTTATAGGAACCCCCCTTAAGGGATCTACTTTTTGGATCCTCCCGGGGGTCTGGGATTTGAGGGGCTCGTGGAAGCTCCCTGGTTTACGAGAGGCTGTACTTAGAGGATCATGGGAGTTAGTAAGTAGGTTATAATTGGGGTTATAAGTCCCCTAAGTGGGGTTATCCTAATTATATCCTACTTATAACCTTACTTACTAAGTCCCATGAGCCTTCAAGTAGGGCTCAGACTGGGAAGTTTCGGGTTTAGGGTTGAGGGTTAGAGGGTTTGAGGCTTAGGCTTAGAAGTTTCGGGTTTAGGGTTTGGGCTTTAAGACTTAGTAGAAGTTTAGGGTTATTTGGGGTTTGGGGCAGGTTTTTCGGGTTCAGGGTTTGGCGTTCACCTCGGTGCAGTCAGAAGCTTTGCATCTTTTCGTGTACTTTTCTTTCTCCACTAAACCCTAACCCCCCCCCAAACCCCAAAACCCTAAACCCCAAAACTTCACTAAGGCCCCGAAGTTAAACCCTAAACCCTAAACCTTAAACCCTAAACCCTAAGTCCCAGACCCTGAGACTGTGCAAGTGAGGACAGAACGGCACCATTTTCGATGAGGATTCCTCGCTGGGCTCAGAAAGCCTTGAGTCTGAAGCATAGGTTTCAAAAAGGAACCCTAGGGTTTAGGGTTTAGGGTTTAGGGTTTAGGGTTTAGGGTTTAGGGTTTATAGGATTTAGGGTTTAGGTGTTCAGGGGTTTTCTTCTGGGGTTTAGGGTTTACAGGTTTAGGGTTTAGGGTTTAGGTTTCCAAGGAACCCCAGACCACAGGGGTTGCTTTTAAACGGTTTTGGGAATAGGGTATAGAGCTTTTCGTTGTTTAGGATGCAGTATACTTTGTCATAGTTGGATAGCATTTTACATTTTTTATGGGTACTTAAACCCAACAAGGGAAATCTACAATTTTAAATCCTATCCCAACCGTGGACTGGTATGGATGCCTAAGGGTCTAGCGGTTTTGGATTTAGGGTTTGGGCTTAGGGTTTAGGGTTTAGAGTTTTGCGCTTAGGGTTTAAGGTAGGGCGGCAATTAGAGCTCTGGCTCTAGCTGTGTGGGGCTTTATGGTCTTAGGGTTTGGGAGCCAATGGATTAAGATTCTCGGGTGTAGCGCTAAACGGGCTTACATCGTTTAGGCCTTAGGGTTGAGGGTTCAGGGCTTAGAGTTTAGGGTTTAGGGTTTGGATCGCATTAAAATCTAGGATCTCCGGTAGTACCCTTATTCCCTTTTTGTAGTCCTAGGTTCCTTATAAAGTTACCCAATACCAAAAAGAGAGGCCTTTCTGTTCTTAGGTTACTGGGTAACCTAGAAATTGTCGGAGGCAGGGGTTCAGGGTTCCTTTTTTTTTGGCTAGCGCCTGAAAAGTGGGCATGGGCACAAAAGATGTCCTGTGTGGCCAAAAAGTGCGGTGCAGCCCAAACCCGAAACCCCGAGCCCTGAACCCTGAACCCTAAAGCCTGTGCCCTAAACCCTACACCCTAAATCCTAAGCCCAAGACTGCCCAACACTGCCCAAAACCCTAAAGCCTAAGCCAGCAAAGTCCTCTCTAATAAAAAGCACTGAAAGCTTAAGACCTATATGGGTGGTTGTCAAAATTGAGATCCCTTTTTGGGTACCCTAAATAATAGGTGCCGTATTATAAAAAGGACACAAAAAGGGACCCTACTTTTGACAACCACCTATATAGACTTGATTATAATGAGTGATCGCACAGCCTCATCGCCCCTACATAACTGTTCAGTCCCTCTTGCTTTTTCGGCAACGCGGCTGTCTCGGCTGCAGCGACTGCTGCCAAACCCTTTCCAAAATGGTACCGAGATAATCCGAAATTGAATGCGTAGGCTTAGATGTACAGTTCCTATGATTTAACCCCAGCTATGAAATTTGAATACCTCAGAACCCCTATAACTTCCAGATATAGATTGTATGAACACCGGCTGGAGGGATCTGCAAGGAGACTTCATACGATCACACGAGCACAACAACTGGTTCCTGTGGATCGACTCGAAGGGTTTGAGAGCGGCTTAAATGATTGCGTATACTATGTTGGGGGTTCCTTATTATGATTATAGTAAGTCATCTCCAAAATCCTATTCTAATTATTAAAGCCCCTATGTTATAGGGGGTTCTATTGTCTTAAAGTTTAAGTTTAAGGATGTCATGTTCAGTAGCCTTGATTGAAGTTACCTAAACCCTAAACCCTGGCCCTAAGTCCTAAACCCAAAGGCCCAAAACCCCCAAACACAAGCCTTAAACATCCCTGAACCCTAAAAAACCTTAAACCTTCCTTGTAAAGGTAGCTTGCCCTTCAGGGTTTGAGAGAGAAGATCCCTTGTTCGGAGCTATTGGAATTCAGAGGTTGGGTTCGGGAATTGGGTAACCCTGAAGCCCTGGAGCCTCCTGAAGTTAAGATTTGAGGGGTGTAGGCTTAGGGGTTTAGGGTTTTCAGGTTTGGGGTTTAGGGTTTAGGAGTTTAGGGTTTAAGGTTTGGGGTCTCAGTCCTCCCAAAAGAAACCCGATGTAGGGGCCGGACCAGTCAGTAACAGTACCCCCTCGCAGTCCCTGCATAGTTGTATCGCAACGTAAAGCCCTAAACCCTTAACTCTAACGGTTAAGGCCAGCTTTTTCAACCCCGATGCCTTTCGGCGCAGCATTTGCGAACTCAAAATCTCGACCCATGCAGCCCTTTGCCCCGCCTTTTCACGATGACGACCGCCGGGCGACCGTGCAACGTGCTGCAGTGGTTCGATCAGGTGACCGAAACTGGGTAAGAGCAGATTCAGTTCGGGTTACACACAGCAAAAACAGTGAAATATGCTGTACTGGTTCGTGCAGGGACAGACTCAAATTGGCGGTAAAGGGAGGTTCAGCAGGAGCACACATCTCGAAGCCCAAAGCCCCGCACAGCCCTCCAAACTCTTATCCCCACAGCCCTAAACCCAACTAGGATGCCCAGTAGTACCCTTATTCCCTTTTTGTAGTCCTAGGTTCCTTATAAAGTTACCCAATACCAAAAAGAGAGGCCTTTTTATTCTTAGGTTACTGGGTATCCTAGTAAACCCAAGTTGCAACGGAGGTGCCTCAGCTGCTTTCAGAACACGGCTGGTGCACCGCCGTAAGAGGCAACAGCTCGGCATTGGCCCACTGCGAGTGCCCATGGGGTGGAAAGTTGGTGCGGTGTCTTGGCTTTTCGGGGTTTAGGGTTTTAGTTCCATGTAGAGGCTCCTACAAAGGTTCCTTAACCCTAAACCCTAAACCCTAAACCCTAAACCCTAAACCCTAAACTCTAAGCCCTAAACCCCTAAACTCCGGCCCTAGAAGAGTTGCTTAGAAAGCTGTTCCTTTTCGGGTTCCCAGAGGTCTCCTGCAAGGGTTCGTGTAAGGCTTCTCTGGATTCTGGCGGCTCCAGGGCTTTTGGAGTTAGGTCTGTTTGGGTTTAGGGTTTAGGGTTTAGGGTTTAGGGGTTCGAAACGATGGGGTTGGTTTTACATAGTCTAGGATCTCCACTAGTACCCTTATTCCCTTTTTGCAGACCTAGGTTCCTTATAAAGTTACCCAACACCAAAAAGAGAGGCCTTTTTATTCTTAGGTTACTGGGTACCCTAGTAGTGTTCGAGGTGGCAATTTGGGAGACTGTCGTTACTGCATTGTACTTGTATAGCGGTGCCTGTTCATGCACGTTTCTGGGTGGCCCTAAACCCTAAAATGAAGCTTGAACCCTAAGGCTTTTAAGCCTAAACCCCGAACCCTAAACCCCTAAGCCCGAAACCCCTGCCCCTAAACCCAAAAGCCCCTAAACCCCAAACGGTAAACCCCTAGCCCTCTGCCCTTCACCTTCAGCTCAGGTTTTGCTTCCGAGGCATTCCCATGCGAAACGTCCAGGATCCTGCACGGTCGCTCGTAAGACCCGAAACGCGAGCCGAACACGAGCCGCAAGCCCCCTTAGGCTTCTAGGCTACGGCTTAGTTTTTTTTTTTTTCAGGGGTTTGGGCTTAAAGGATTTAGGGTTTAGGGCCTGGTTTGGGTTTTAGGGATGAGGGATGAGGGTTCTAGATCCCCAATTCAAGGGTCTTCTCAGGTTTGAAGAAGGGTTTTGTAAGTGTCTTTAAAGGGTTTAGGGTTCTTCTAAGTTCTTCTGAAGCACCCTTTTGCACATTGCGTTTCGTGGTGTCCTATTAAAGCTCAATAGTGGGAGCCCGGTTACGAACATCACAAATGCAACCCTAAACCCCAAGCCCTGAACCCTAAACCCTGAACCCTAAACCCTAAACCCTCAACCCTAACCCTACAAGCCCTAAACCCTAAACCCTGAACCCTAAACCCTCGACCCTAAACCCTAAACCCTCAACCATTCCGAGGCTTCGACTTGCTGCAGCAGTTGGCCCCTGGCGATGCCGTGCTGCAGCACAGGGCCTCTTGGAACCTCCTGCAGCTGTGCAGCCTGGTTTTTGGCGACGTGGGCATGCCTGCGTTCCTTTGTGATAGTTGGGTAACATTTTACATTTTTTTGGGTACTTAAACCCAATAAGGAAAACAAAAGTGGATTTTTAATCCTATCCCAACAATGAACTAGGTTCGTGCCGGCGAAGACCCCGATCACTTGCAGACAGAAGCTCTACCGAGCCTGTCCGACACGGGAGGACACTACCCTCATGTTCTCGACCATGAGCGGTCAGGTTTCGGATGCTTGGCTGACCATTTTTGAAGCAGCTTGGGGAAGTCTGCTTTGGTGCCTCGCATAGCGATTGAAGCATCGGAGGTGCTAGACCATTTGGGATCGTGAGAAGGAAGTTGCAGGTATTGTCCGGATAGCGACGATGACCATGGGGATGATGTCGGCATTGGGCAGTGATGAAACGACGGTCCTCCTCCTGCTGCTGTTGCTGTTGACGATGAAGGCAAGAGGCATCGATTGTTTGCTGGCGGTACTCATGTCAATCACCCGGTGATCATGATTGCGGTCGTCATCTTTTGGCGATGATGTGATGGTGCTGACGATGGCGGTGGGGATACTGCTGATGAGCACGATGATGATGCTGATAGCGGTGGCCGTGGTGGTGATGATGAGTTTGATTGTGATGTTGATCTTGTTGTTGCTTGTTGTTGATGATGTTGATGCTGATGACTATGAATATGACGACGGTGGTGTTGACGATGCCGTGAAGGACGGCACAGCAATTCTTTCTGCAGGTCGCGGAGCTTGCAGCCTCCTCCCCTCAGACGCTTCCCCCTGATGAAATCGTGCTCGCGTCAAGTTGCCCTTCCTGTTTTGCCTGCGACGTGTTCCAAAAAATCGTGCTGCCACTGCAGTCCCGCGCTATTCCCTAAACCCTAATCCCCAAACCCTCAACCTTAAATCCTAAACCCTATGGGCGACTTTTCCTGGCACAGTGCGCTGTTCAGGGGTGGGAGCCTGGGCCATGCTCCGGGAATGGATCTCAGATTATGCCATTATGCGCGGCTGGGACTGCTAGGCTAGGCCCCGTTTCTCCGTTTGGGGTCTACGCTGGTATGAATGATGATTCCCATGACGACACCCCATTTACACATTCACCAACATTTCTCAGAAGCCCTGCTTGCACGCACAGAAGCCCGAATACAAGCC